AAACTATAATGAATAATTATGGAATGACAGAAGAAAAAGCAACAGAAGACTGGTGAATTCTTCAAATGTAACAGATGCCTTTATGATAAAACAACTGATGAATTTGGAAATGTAAAAAGTGGAAAAAGATATAAATATTGTCAAGAGTGTAGAACGAAAATAAATAATTGTAGAGATAAACGTCAAAGAAAACAAACGACCCAGCAACACCCCAGAACTTGATAACTACTAAAAGGGCTACCTCTTTCAAATGAAAAAAATGTCGGCCCCCAGCCCAACAATGAACAAGGCGACAATTTACCCAAATGATTACCTTAACGAAAACGATAAATAAGCTCCCTAAAAACCCTCTTTTAAAAACGAATAAGGTGGTTAATAGGTTTGAGATGAATATAAAAAACATAACAGGGGACCATCAACAGACCACCCCCCAGGCCCCCTACTTTCTCCATTTTTTGGGTGGTGGGGTGGGGTGGGGTGGGGTGGTGGGTGGGTGGGTGGGCGGGTGGGTGGGTGGGTGGGTGGGGGGGCGGGCGGGCGGGCGGGCGGGTGGGCGGGCGGGGTGGGCGGGCGGGTGGGCGGGCGGGCGGGTGGGTGGGTGGGCGGGTGGGCGGGCGGGCGGGCGGGTGGGTGGGTGGGTGGGTGGGTGGGTGGGTGGGTGGGGGGTGGTGGTGGTGGTGGTGGTGGTGGTCGTCGTCGTCGTCGCCGTCGTCGCTGCTGCTGCTGCTGCTGCTGCTGCTGTGGTTGTGGTTGTGGTTGTGGTTGCGGTTGTTGTGCTTGTCTTCCGCCGTCGTGTTCGGTGTTGATGCCTTTACTTCATTCTTTTTGCTGCATGCTTTGGCCTGCTCCAAGGTGATTTTGGTTGGCATCAGCATGTTTGACCTTTTCCTGCTTGATGTTTGGATGGTTGAGTACGAGCTTCCCGGAGCACGATCGCATCAAATTTTGTTTCCGCTTGTTTGAATATCTTGAGTTTGCGTTACTTGCCCACAAGCAGAACTATTCTGAGTTGAAGCTGCACAGCTGGTTTCCAAGGTTCAATGTGAATGTGACAATGATGCGCATGGCTCGAACAGTGAAGCTGGCCAGAGCTTTTCGCATTATGCGTACCCTGCGACTTTTTGCACTCTGGTTGCACAGGAAGAATATGTGTGCGTGCTGCTGCGGAATGCTAGGGCAAAGTTCGAACAGAAGGCAATGAGCAGGACGATAGAGATGCTGGGAACTTGTCAGTGGTCCACGCACTTATCTTCCTTGGAGCAGTGTTTCACTGAACAGACTGCATACACACTTGCAGAGGCCTCGTACTGCTGATGATAGTGGGGCCGATTCTCTCGGCAAATTCAACTTTTCAGAGTGCAAACATTAAATATTGCTTGTGGTGACAGTTGTTTGCTGGCCTTTTTCGATGACCTTGAGAGCTTCGTGAAACTTCTAATCGTAAATCCTCGTAACCGACCTTTTTGCGGACCTGAGGGAGTGTGGCTTGCTTCTTGTGCTCACGTTTCTTTTGATTTGTTCTTTTTGGCGTTGTGCGTGACTCACCAAGAAGCTGATGACAACTATAAACAAACACACATTACGAGATACGCTGTAGAGAACTTCCGCAAGATGATGGGGACACGTGACTAGGAAAAGCTTGAAAAGACTCGGAAACGGATCAACATCGCAACCCTGGAATCTTAGATTGTGCAATGCAGATGAAAGGAACGCATACGACGACAACCTTGACACACAGTGTTTTGTTGTTTGTAAAGATTGACTGCTACAAGCTGACCAGAGCATGTTGTTTGACATGAATCTACAATCGTGCTGGCGGGTGCGCCTTCTGTGCGTTTGAGGGCGATGCGTGGTCCTTGCCTCATGTGTTTTGGAAACAGGGCGAACCGTTTGGTTGCCAAAGATGGACTTTGGAGCTAGGATCGCAGTTCTTTTGCTTGTCAACTCAGCTTTTCGCGGGCACCAAGCCAAGGAAGGGTTGCGTGTCCTGGTCCATTCCGTGAGCGCGTTTCTGCCTTCTTTGATGCCAGCTTCTCAGATTGTCAAAATGACAAGCAGCAGAGGCCATGGCATGTTGTATTGCTTTTGTTCTAGATGGGAACTTGAGCTGATTTGTTCTCAGTCATGATGCATTCTTGATTCTGCATGTGTTGCAGAGAAATGCACACATTGTTCGAATGCATGTCTTTTTCACGTGTGTTTGCAGCTTCACATCGACAGCTTTGCTCAAATGGTGCTCCCTGCTCCTGTTGGGCAACACTATAGTGAAGCTCTGGACAAACATCACTCTCAGGTGGGCCATGATCTTCCTCACACTCTTCATCACTACAGGGGGCATCTTGCTTGGTGGCTTGCTGCACAGCTACACCATTGACACAGAGATGGACTATGATAGGCGCTATTGGATCTGGCGGCACTATGGCACTGCGAGCAGGGCCGCTTGCGCTTTACCGGCTGCATTCGTGTCTTTTTAACTCCAATTAGGATTGCGGCGACCTTGGCCCCGAAATTACCATGCCAGGTTGCCTCATGGTGTCATTGTTCACAACAAGCGTGTTGCGCATAACAATCCTGAGCGAGGAACCCAAACACTTTGAGTTGATGTGGTTGCCGATTTTGGCTCAAGATCTTTCTTTTACTGATTTGCCTCACCCCCTCTCCGCGACCATGGCTGTCCCTGGTCGTTCGATAACATGGTGGAGGAATTCGACCTGCTGGACGTGACTGAGGTGGACGCCGACGCGTCCCTGATGTGGCGTTTGGCGAACTTTCGTGACGAGCAAGCAGCTTGAGGAGGTTTGCCTCACCAGGATCCACCTGGAGTTTTGTGATGACGGGTGCCACGCGGCAACATTTGCCACCGCCGCCTGCGCCAGAAAGCCAGGACAGAAAGCTGCTCTGTACCATGTTTGAGGCAGTCCTTGGGCAGCCCGCCTTCTCGCTCGGCTTCGTTACGCGCGCTTCGCGGCCGCTCGTGCCGGTGCCATGCAGGCTGTTGACGCCGCCCGCGGCGTCGTTTCTGCGCCATCCCGTCGCCAGGTCCATGCATGGCTCCGAACCCGCCGCGCGACTTTCATATCACTTACCCAGCCCTCACAAACGCAAAGAAGGGTTGACTCAAAGGAAAACGGGCGCAGGGGGGGGGAGGCAAAAACGGTTGCGTCGCATCACGCGGCGCAAAGCAAGGTGCGGGGGTTCCCTGAACCTGCAGCTATTCCGAGCTTGAAGCCGCGGGATGAGAATAGTGAGTACAGTGGTTGTTGCAGGCTACATTGTCTGGTTGTCGCCGAGGGTGGGTTTTCCTGCCGATCGTTCTGTGGCGTTTAATTTTGTTGGTGTTGTCTTGGGAGCCCCAAGGAACGCGAGTGGCGTACCGCAGTTGAACGAGCCAGCCGAAGTGCGCCGCAGAAGGTAGGGCAACGATTGCGCTGGAATTTCATGACCGGCCGCCGTTCGTGCTGCGTCCATCTTATGCCTGGGTCGCCTATTACGATGCTTGCTGCAAGTGTCGAGGGCCGAGAGTGACTGGCCGGCAGCCGCAATCTTCCTGCCGACAGGTCCTGTCCGGCTGTGGCTTCCTGTCGTTGTCGTGGTTTTGTGTATTTGTCGCAAGCTGGGGCCACTCTGGCGGCGCGGTTGCTCTTCCGACCGGGAGACTTCGCCGCCAGCCCCCGTTTCATCGGCGTGCCAACATCGCTGACACCTTTTGCCTGTGCCGCTTTGCGCGATGAAGGGTTGCAGTCCACTGCCCCGCCGGCCACGCGACCAGGCCTTGAAGATCATTGGGAACATTTCTTCGCCCGTCAGGTTGGTCTTGAAGGCGCGCCGATGTTGAGCATTTTGCACCGGCAATGCACGATGGGACGGCGACGGGGTTTCACATTTTCGTGAGACCTGATTCCTTTTTTCCCGGTCCTCTGGCGGTGTTGGCGCTTGTCTTGGTCCTGGCCACCTTAATGGGGAGATGGGGAGTGGGCCTTCAATGGGAAGATGGCTGCCCACCCAACCCAAGTTGGGCTCCCCAGTTTTAGTTTGGTTCGTGACCGTACGAGACCTCGATAAGAAGAGGGCTCGAGGCTTTCCCACACAGTTGCGGCCCAAGGATTGCGCAGTTGGGTGTCGAGAGCGGCCGAACGGTTTGATTGTTGTGGGCAACACGTGTGTTGCGAACAATCCTGAGTGAGGAGCCCAAACAGTTTGAGTTGCCGTGATGAAGTTTGAGTTCGATCGCTTCAGGGGAAATGTCCGTTCAAAGAATGGCTCAAAATTTGGCGCTCCTCAGTTGGTGGCGCTTGGAGCCTTAGAGAAGGAGGGGCTAGAATTTTCAATCCCCTTGTGGCCAAGGGGTGTGATTGTTCCTTACTTGGCTTTCCAAAGAACAATAGGACATATGTGGCCAGACTGTCCTGACATGATGTCGCTTGGCCTGGTAGACGCGGAGCAACTGAGGCTATCTACACAATGTTTGAGATAACCTTTGCCGGGTCATGGCCTATGTATGCTAGACCGGTTATTGAGGAGGTGAATGTGGGTTTGACGCTCAGACAGGACGTCAGTGTCGTGTGCGCAGATGTGCTGGAAGCATTGTGTGCTTTGCTTGAGGCTACTGCTTATTCTTCATCGCCTACATTGTGTTCGTGGTGTTTGCAGCTACTCAGCGCCAAATATAGATATGCGGCACATAATTATTTCAATGAGCAGCCACTGGAATCGCAATATTTCCGATTGCATTGGCATTGTCCATCCCTGCCGAGGTAATCAGAGTGATCAGCGCAATCTTTCTCAAGGTTCGACCGGCTTAAGCTTGCCCAGCATTCATCTAGCTGACCAGATGTCAAAGTCCTTGGCCGCCACAAAGTTGCCTCATGCTTCCAACACTGTCTCGCGGCAGGAAACCTTAGATGCCGCACAAAATGATGCGCAGCTGGTTGTGAAACTCGGCCATGCAAAACAAATGTCAGATGTTTGCGACTGATGGTTTGCGCCTTTTGCTGGGCGCCATTCATGCAGGAGGTAGTGATTGTCAGAGCTTTGATTCTGGCAGAGGAGTTCGAGCTAAGGAGAGAGAAGGCAAAGGCAAGCCAGGAGTACGTGAAACGACTCAACAAAGTGTGACCGAGCAGCATGGCAGCTTCGCAATTTTTCTTTTGTACAATTGGGAATGCCACTATGTCGGTATGATTCTCGAGGTTCCAGACCATGGATGTCTCTCAAGACGGCGTTGTGACGAAGGACGAGTTTATGCAATTATGCCAGGATCCAACGATAAGAAGCTACATGACTTCTCTTGAATCTTGGCAGCAGCTGATTTAAGCGGCTAAAGCAGATCAAAACATACGTGACCGCATTCTTCTGCCTCCCGCTGCTTCCTTGCTGTTCCAGAATGAACAAACGTGGTCGATTCCCAAGGATGTCGATGTGAACGACGGCTCTCACCTCTTCAAGCTGTTGGATGATGGAGACGGGCATCTCACGTATGATGAGCTTCTCTGAGTACATTTTATTTTGCTCGAATGTTGAGCAGAGATGCTTCACCTGGATAGGTGATTTGCAATGCCATTCACGGAACAGAGCGCTCAGACAAATGAATAAAAGGATTACGACTGTTTTGCTTGGGGTTTCACAGTCTCAAACGAGGACCGCACAGAACAAATCCTGCAAAGTTGATGCTTATGGCCAGAGTTCCAATGACCATCATGATGCTATGAACAACCTGAAAAGATTGAGCAGCGCAGCCTCAGGCCCATGAACAGCATGAACGCCCTGCATCTAATTACTAATCAACAGAATGCGCAGCACGTACAACCTGAACTTGCTGAGCAACAGCCAGAGTCATCAACACCGCAACTGTAAGCAGCTGAGCAGCACAAGCACAAGCAGCATGAACAGCGCGAGCAGCAAACGAAACATACTCGAAGCAGCAGAAGCTCTAGGCCAGACTGATTTGCTCATCATTCTGTTTCAACCCTGCGCCCTAAGTTTGAATACGAAGCAGCAATCTAATCTTTTCTTTCAGGCTTGCTCTGCTTGGCCATCATATCTTCTCGAGTGATCTGACTGCTGAGCCGCAAAGCAAGCGTTTGGTTGCGTGAGTGTGCAACCTTCGCAGAGAACCTTGCGAAGAGAGCTCGCTCAGGGAAACTTAAGGGAGGGAACGTCATTTCTTCAGTCCAACATGACATGTGTAGCTGGCGCACTCCAATTCTTTTAAGCTTTCTGGACGCATTTTTCAGCATGTCCGTCAGGGCCTGACTGGGTATTTGCTGTGGCTTTGAAGCAAGCACGCTTGAGAAGCTGAGTGATTCGAGGTTCATCAGCGGCATGATGCGCTTCAAAGGACAACAGAGTTGCTTGCAAACGGTCTTGTGGGGCAACCAAATACTTTGGTTAGCATCACTCACAATGTGGGGCCTTTGTGTCCAACAAAGGGAGCAATGTGAAGGTCTCATGACTGGCGGCAGGGGTCTCAAGGGTGGATTCAGGTTCCAACCCTATGCATGTGTATGCTCCGCTCGCCATAGACTTCAAGTAGTCAACGGTTTGCTGCTTGCCTAGGTATTCCCCCTCAGGTGGCCTAGGCTTGATAACACAGGATATCAGCCGAAAAGGCTTGTAAAGATCGCCATGGCATCCGGAGATATGCATGCCATATACAATATATCTGGAGATGTTGGTGACGGTGGTGATGGTGCAGTTGGATCTACAGGTCCTGTGGACCCTCGCGATCCTCGAAATATGTTTGGATTCGCGACAAACTACCAGGCCACCCAGAACATTGCATGTGCACAACGACACGGGTGACGCTACATAGGGTTGCTATGGATGCTACAAGAGCGGAATATAGCGCTCATTTGTCAGAAACCGTGCATTGCCTGGATGAGGAGACCAACCGCTGGACTCTTGAGCTGCATGAACAGTTTGCAGAGTCCCGTGCTTTCTTCAGTGCCCAGGTTAGCCAGATGCCGAGGTGAACGAAGCTGTGTCGCAAAGAACGGCCCAGTACAGCGCTTTCGCACAAAGCTTACATGCTGAGACTGTTGTGGCGGAGAATTCGGAGAAGGCGGTCGGTGAACAGAGAGACAAGATTCTGGCGGAGAATCACTCCATGCAGGACACGATCAACAGGCTGAATGACACCGTTGAGCGTCTGAGGAGCGATCTTGAAAAGGCGCAGCGTGAAATGGTGCGCAAAGATCCCCAACCCGCATCGAGTTTTCAGAACGTCAGCTCAGAGTCATTTTTGGACAAAAGAGGCAGTATCTTTGATGATCCGCGTCTTTTCCCAACGCAGAATGCTCAGACTTCCGGACCTATGCCCCAGATTATTCCACAGCAAAGTTGGACAGACCCCATTTCTGGTCCAATGCAGTTTGATATTAATCAGGATGCGAGACGGTTTTCGGAGCGAGAACGCAGCCGAAATCAGCAGAGCCAGCCGACAAATCAGCCGAACGTTGAACGGTTGATCGGTCCCGAGACCACTGAGGCGGAGTTCCGTGCGGCCCTCCTCGGCTTTGTCCGGAATCAGCATGATCGGCCCAAAGCAAAGGAAGCTGATTCGTTGAGGCTGAGTGAGGTTCCAACTCCTGAGACCAAGAGAGCCTGGAAAACGGCTACTCGCGAAGAGATTCGGGCTGCATCCGATCGGCCTGATGCTGCATTCACCTGGGTGAACACGGTGTCTGTCAAACGGGAGGACAAGAAGAATCTCATGTTAGAGCTTTGAGATCCAGAGCAGTTTGAAACGTTGGATACAAAGCTTCTTGCAGCCTTGTCGCGGATTGCTAGGGGC